AGCCAGCCAAAGTGAGATTAAAAGCTACTTTTTACAAAAAAAATTTTTTGCAAAAATGCGCTAAAAAGGGCGATAAATAGTCAGTGGATTGTTTCGTTCGTATTGAGAAATACGTGACGTCGTAATTTCGTTATTGCATTTTCGGAAGAGGGACAAACACGTGAAATTTCTTTAATCAACTTTAGCGACGAGCTTCAAGCGCACCGAAATTCTTGAACTCTTACCTACGAGGAATTTATTTTGTTTATCAACAATGACGTACCTTGACTTAAGAAAAGCTGACTCAGTGAGATGTCTTCAATGAGAGAGAAACGTACATTTTGTGCACCATTTTCATTTCTGCACTTCACATAACACGAATACGAACTTTGACCTAGGGAGCCTAGACTTCAGACAATTTTTATGGGATCGACGCAACTCTAGGAGAAAAATATTTACTCGTAGAAGGTAGCGTAAAACGGTTGGTTACTGTATCGTTTTTTATTCGCCGTTAATTAAATAGCTTTAAGGGTGCCATAATAGTTTCAATTTGCTGTTAATTAACTCATTTTGTTTATGCGTATATATTTGGTTGTTAATAACGGCACCTGTGGTTAAACTCATTGGGAGAAGTGGAAGTTTTCTTGATAATGTAAGGTTCCAAATTTAAATTCCGTTTAAGTAAGTCTTATCAATTTCTACTCTCGTTTATATTTTACAGTAACTTTCTAGACAGTGGCGACGATTGTGTCTAATTTTTGATTGGTTGTTGATATCGGTGGCTATGTAACATCGAGTAGGTGTACTTAATAATGGTAGTATACGCAACACATGTCATACGTGCATTGTGTGTTGCTTGCTTCTAATTTCACTTTTCGATGCAACATGGCCGATGGGCTCCTATGGTCGTCACTGTCTCTTTAAAAGTCAGTATTATATTCGATTTTTTTACGTCATCTATGTATTTTCTTTGTAAACCCGTTTAGTTTTAGCTCCTGAGTATTGCAGGTTTCATTTACAATCTTTATTTATTTATTGTTTCTTTGTTGTTCTGGGCCTGTGTCCAATTACATAGTGACCCGCATAATGTATTTTAGAGGTGCCCCTGCAGAAGATCTGCAGTCGGAGTAGCCAGCAGAATGCTCGAAACTGATCTATGGAAATTCCCATCTCTACCACATATGAAATATAATTCTTACCTCAGCCCAGGCTCGAACACCCGACCTTCCGACTATGTAGCCTAACGCTCTACCACTGAGACACAGCCGGTTAATTTACAATAGTTCTTTGCTTCGCCGCCAGAGGTCGTGCAGATGTTTTCCGTGTTGCTTCAATTCTATTCGATACCTGAAAAGGGATATCACCATATTTCTTTGGAGTGTTTCTCTCTATTTCTGATGGGTTGCAGTTGCTCTATTGAATACGCTTAGCGGATTTATATGTGCAAGTAAGAAGTGTACGAATTATGGTTCAGAATGATTCTTAATACTTAATTTTTTGTCTTCCCTCATCATTTTCTCTTAATGGATTACTTTTCCGTTATTCTATAACAGGATATTGCCTACGCAGTACCTGGATGACACCGTATTCTTTACATGGACCCGCCAATTTAGTGAGATTGACCTTGGCGACGTCACG